CTGGGCCCCGGCCCCGGTGAACTTACAGAGATTCCTCTTTCAGAAGTGGTGCCAAGCAGCCATTTCTTCCAAAAAAGGCTCGACGGACCCTGGAAGCCAACCGCGTGCCGTTGGGCGCTCTTGCTCTCCGCGAGATTTTTGAACAGAGACGAGTTTGGCCTCCTTCGGAAAGCGATAGGAAAGCAGGTGAAGTGCTATGTTCGTTGCACTATTGCAATATACATCAATATACCTTTTTGGGCGCATGACATTGAGTCGTAGAAATTGAGGAGAACCTTGATGTCCGTTTCAGCAGGACTTGCAGAGCCTATGGTTTGACCCATTGACCCCACTTGACTTAAGTCTTGGTCGTACAAAAACCAATACTTCAGGAAGTCAAGTTGACTGGGTCTTTGGACTTGGAGGGATGTATATTCCATAGCTTGTGGAGTTTCTCACATTAGCCAGGCACGTTCGGCTTCGGCTTCTGTGGCCGCCACTTCGCCGTGGAACGTGCCTTCCCAGGCACGTCCGAGGCTACGGCGGGAGATGGAGGATTGGTCGGAGCCCCAGCAGGCCGCTGTGACCGAGGCCTGATGCAGTCCTCAAGAGGACCCGGTTGAGGGAGCGGTGTCATGGACTGGGTAAAAGGATCTAGAAGTTCACTTGGTCCCTGGAATGAACCAAGCTTCATAGAGACTTACGAAGCTTTTTGAAGGAAAAAGGCTCGATGTTCCTTCTTTTGTGGAGGCCCACCCAGAAACAATCAGACAGATCCAGGAGATTTTGTTCCCTCTACCCACGGATGAACGGGTCATATCCGACCATTGGACCACAAAGATCAAATTCATCTGTCGACATTGTGCATTTCTTTACCAAGTCCAACCAAGCTGCCCTAGAACACTCACATTCCTTCATTTTTCATATCAAGACATCCACATCATCCGCTCTGATGGATGGATGAACCTTGAGGGATTTTTCGAGCCGGACGCCTCCGGAGCGTCGCCCGGGGCGCACCCGCTCAGGTGGGCTGGCTCTTTGAGGGTTCCGGGTTCCTCATTGACACTCAAACACATGCATAAATACATACAACAAGTGTGGTTGCAAGATATAGTATATAAAACATAAAAGGTATCGCATGTGGCATGCATGTATATATATATAACATTTTCTTATACGTTGAAGCAGGGTTCCGGGCTGGGTACCAACTAGATGCATATATATATATAGACAGTGTTATATATACACATGAACACACAACACTGTACATATATAGTATGTACACAGACACGCACACACACACAGACAGACGCTCATATTTTTTTGCGGAACCTGGAGGACTATTGGTGATTTTGGGGGTCTATGCTCAGCCCAAGAAAGTGCAGACGTTCTTTTTTAAAGATATCAGTTATTATTTTTGAGTGGATCCTGATATGCGAGAACTGCTTGAGATCAGGTTTTGATCAGGTCTACACTTGTCCATGGAATTGATTAGGTGACCTCCTTCTAGTACCGATTTTTCAGCCTTTCGGGATTTACATTGGGCGGGGCCTTTGTTTTCACAACCCCGCATGAGCGCCATGTGCCACCGAGCACCATGTGCCACCGAGGTCGGGAGAGTTCTTTGGGACGGACTTCACCCGGAGCTCCAGTATGCGCAGTGTGTTCCTGGGCTCCCAGATCTGCTTAGTTGACCCAGATCCACAGCTTAGAGGATATACCATGAGGTGGCGAGTTTCTTTTTCAATCTCTTGGTCTTCTAATACCGCCACCTATATGACTTCGAGACGCCTTGGAGGCCGTTTGTCGTTTTCGGGGGCCTTCCTGAGTGCTCATGCCAAGGTTTTATCTCGCTCAGGTTGAGTGCTTTGGCTCGCTCCTCCAGCCGCAGCGAGCGGCTGGCGCTGGCGGTGGCTTGACAGGATGGTAGCCGAGAAAGGTGCCGGTATAGTGATACAATATATAAACGACGAACACCTGACGGTATGGGGATCATCCACGTGGAGGTTGAATGCCGTTCCAAGTACACTAACTGATGAATTGAGGATCATCCAGAATCCAAGTGAAGGTTGAATTGCATTCCAAGTACAGCGTCGCGTCTGACGGTATGGGTATCATCCAAGTGCAGGTTGAATTCCGCTCCAAGTACACCACCTGACGGTATGTGGACAATGTCGTTCCGAGTACACCACCTGACGGTATGGGGAGAAGGTGGTTCCAAGCACACCACCTGTCGGTATTGGAATCAACCAAGTGCAGGTTGAATGTCATTCTGCCTAAACTTTCTTGCGTGAACCAGGTGAGCCAGGATGATTTTCGGGAGACACAGAGGCTGCTGAGCGAGGCCGAGGCCCACGGCGCGAGGAGTGGGAAGCTCCTGATTCATGTTGGACAGAATAGCAAGGAGGTCAAAGGGAAGCGGCCCTGAAATGCTTCTACTAGTTACCAGCCACCCTTTTAGTCTTTTTATTTCCCCAAACAGTTTACTGTTGGGGTTCTTAATGCTTTTAAGTGCACCTCAGTCAACTGTTTGGGGTCTGTGGTGGTGTAGTTTGCATGTTCCTCTTGGAAAGCAAAGGGGGAACATGTCTGTCAAGAAGCCGTCGGTTTCAGAGCGGAAAGACGATCCAAGACGATCCCAAGCGCGCAGACTGCGCCAGATACGACGACGCTCCTTCGGACTAAGCCTTAAGCCCATTCTTGACGTGTCGTCCCGACGACCACAGCGCGCTCCCCCCCCTGGACCCAACGCCAGTCATTCCGTTCGAACACCAGGCGAACAAGCTCCGTCTTCCAACCAAGGGAAGACCGCAAAGCTCCCGATGTCCGTCAGACCCCGGTCAAATCGACTTCCGGACAGACCCGATGGTCGACAATCTACTTCCGGTGTCGTTTCGGAGCTTTTTCGGACACTCCGATCCCATTGGGATTTCCACGCTTTTCAGTGCGAAAGGCGTCTCCGTTCTTTCTTTGCACCCCGGAAAGGCCACCCAGTTCACGCTTTTTCGTCTCCCGCGACTCACGCGTCGAAGGAGGCGACCGGTCTCCGTCCCGAGGTGACGCCCGCTCTCCACCTCGCCCTGAAGCTCGGAGCAGCGCCCGAGGACGGTGACCTGGGGACCGGACTGCGGGACGTGTTCCGGCGGATGACACGGGGCCGGTTGGTGCGAATGGATGAAAGAGGGGTTGCGGAAAACAGATGTCTGTTTTTGGGCACTTGTTTCTCTCTCTGTCTCTCTCTCTCTCTCTGTCTCTGTCTCTGTCACTGTCTCTGTCTCTCTCTCTCTCTCTTCTTTTTAACATATTGCTTTGTGTTTTAAAGTCTGGGACCACTTCGGGTTGTGTGCTCATCTCGATGAGGTTTCCGGAGGCTCACATGGGGTCACGTGAGCGTGAGACGCCACTGCGCCACTGCGAGTTCGCGCTGCGAGGCGAACTGCCCTGGTCCTGGGGTTCGTGGGGTTCGCTTCACCGGTCGGAGGCTGATAGGACCATCCAGGCTGAGGGGGGACGAACCACACGAGTTCCTGCGTGAAGTCCTGGATTTACGGTGGGGTCACGGGTCACGTGGCCAACGGTGCGGTGAGGAAGCAGAGCTAAAGTCTCCTCCAGCGAAACACTGTCCACTGCTGTGTGAGAACTTCTTTGTCTGTGAAACGCATGAAACTGGGTGGAAAACAGATCGGAATGAACAAAGGAAGGAATCGACATATTTGGAGAACATGCTATTTACCAACACGTCGCTTTTGCCGAAGTTCGTTGAAAAGGAATCCAGCATAGAGATCGTGGCACGGTGTTTGGACACCATGTTTACTGGGGTGTATCTATTTGGGGGTCTTTTTCTAGTCTTCCGTCGCGTCGCTGGCATTGTCACTCCAGACCGTTGACCTGCTGGCCAACTGCTGCGAGCATCTGAATGTGGCCTTGGCTCACTTGGACGGACTGTGCTTTGTCCACCGTGGGGTCGGCGGGGCTTTGTGTTTCACACCCCAAGCAGGACCCACTTCTGGAACGGGTTCCCAATGAACACACCAGAAGCTGGATCAATGAACACTCTGGGCTGGGTCGTCGCGAAAGAAAGGGAGATTCGCTGATACGACCACGTGAAACATGGCAAAAAGATGCAAAAAGACTCGTTGATCTATTGCATCTATCCTCAGAAAAAAAAAGCTGCATTGCAAGCCTTGCATGCTTCGGCGGGGAGGAGAAGGGGAAGGGACACCATTTTCGTGAGGGGTTGCAATTCTCATTTTCGTGTCCACCCTTCCTCGAGTGTTTTTCTTCAAGCAGGTGTAGCCCGATGTGTCCAATGTTTCTTTGGACTGAACACCACTTGACTTCGATGCTTCGTAACAAAAACATTTGCATGCCCTGTAACAAAAGAAAAACCTCATCTCGACTGGCGGCAGGTACTTCAAGCCACTGGCCGGTCGATTCGAATCAAAAAGCAGCTTTCCAAAAAAAGAGGTCTGCCGATGCTGAAATGACGACAGGTGACTTGACGACAGATGAGGCCCAGATTCTGGACATTTGCTGATCTTCGAACTTGTTCCTGTAGAGTCTCTTCGCCCTTCCCACGGCCGGAGCTTTCTTCCCCACTTTCCCAGGTTTGGCTGCCAGAGCCGGTGGTGGTGACCTGGGCAGCTCGGCGCGTCCGGCCGTTTTCGGCCACGTGATGATTTGGGAGAACCTATTTTTCATTTTCTTTCTAAGTTGTGACTCGAAGTCTAGAACTTTGTGACTCAGGGTGTAGAAAGTGTAGAGAGCACGATGAGTTCTCGGGGTGATGGTCAGGTCCAAAGGCATCAAGCGGCCCGGTGTCGACAGCGTTTGGCTCCAGGGTGAGGAGCCACAAACATGTGTGAAGATCGAGGCAACTGAGGCCCCTTGTCCATTTGAAACATGAAAAAGAAGCTATGACTTGTACCGATGGTTGTGATCGTCGAAGGCCCCCAAATAGAGCTGTTTTGCTTCAGGGTCATGCCACGCGGTCAAACCACTTTCCTCCGTCAGCATGGGACCAACAATGATGAATAGCTCGCCTTCAGCAAAGCAAGGACCTGAAGATCCGCCTTCGCTGTGTGCCATGACCCCTCACAACGCCAACGGCTCAGAGCTTTCGCTCGGTGCGCGACAGAGCGCTGGCGAGAATCGGGGAGCCTTCGCTTCTCGCTTGGCTGTGGCTGCCAAGATCTTCTATGGTATTTTCTTGTTGTGTGTCTAGGCTGGAATGGAAAGGCGAATCAATGCAGAGGACCATGAACGGACGTTGGTTTTGGATGGTTTTGGTAAACTGCCCATTGGCTGTTAGTGATTCGACAGCTGGTGGAATGGTGACGAGCTCCTATTTTTTGGAATATCTTCACCGGCCTTTACTTTGGACACTGAGTTGGATCCTGAGTTGGGTGGGCTTAGCTCGAAAGTCTTAGACCCTGGATGATTGATGAAGAACGCCTCCGCTTTCGAAAGTCGTTTCGGGAGACCCTGTGGCCGGAATGCGCGCTGGGAGGACTGGAGGCTGTGGGCTTTCTGCATGTGGCCCCAAGGGAATCCTGCAAAGCAAGTTGGCCCTGCTGTTCTTTCCCTGTTGTTCTGACTGTGACTGTGAGGTATCCTCAAAAAGCCAGGACTCTCAATCCAATGCCCTGCAAGAGTTCACAGGGGGACACCGACAGCTTGGGCGCACGGTTGGTTTTGGAACAGACATCAGCAGCAACAGATTGTAGCGATGAAGCTAGCAACAAGCTTTTGATCGACCGAAACAGAGATACCTTTTGCACTAGTACGGATCAGCGGATGGGGTCTTACTGCATGGATATGGGCACAGGAACTTATACATCATGCCTTGTCCATTATCTGCCCTGTGAATATACTATTATGTATTATTATGCAATATTATGTACAAAATTCACATATACTATATATATATACACACTGTATATATACATAATTTGTCAGTAAACAAGCATCACTTTTTTAGAAAGAGCCCTTTACTAACCATCATCCTCCACTGTTGCTGGCAATAGAATAGACCCAATATAAATAAAACATATATATATATATACTGTCTACTAGTGAGTCTACTATACACACCTTCCCACGGGAACTCGTCCATTGTGAACCGAGCCCAGCACAGTTGGCGTGACTCTGAGCAAGTGGCATGAAAAGAGGTAAATGGGAGAGAGAAGCAGGGACCACAGCAAACCAGAACAATGAGCCACAAGAACGTAGTGTGAAACCGAACCCATGGGAAGAAAGGGAAACCCTGCTGCTTTGAAAGCAGGTGGAGTGGTGCTCAGCCTCGTGGGCTTGATCTTTTTGGCGTCGTTCGCTTCTGGTTTCTCTGACTTGCTGGTGATCCTGCTCGGGTTCCTGTTGATCTTAGTGGCTCAGCCGCGGCACAGGAACGTCCAAGAACCGCGCCACGACCGTTGCTGCGCGGCACAGCGACCTCGGGCGGACTTGCCCAAACGGCCCGCCCAAGAGGGATCAGAAGGATCTCTCATTGTTTTGCATGTTAAAAGATCCCAATCCTGAGATCCTCTGCTCCACTCAAAACGGGCTGTTGAGTGTCCAACATCAGTCGCAGTTGAATCTAAATTTAGGAGGCTCAGGGCTTTGGTGGTTGCTAGCTGTTGCCATCCAAATGGAGATCGCCGACGACCGAGTAGTTGTGTCTGAAATAGACACCTTCTTGACATGAATCTCACACCCAAACCCACAACCAAACTCAGTGACTCATGTGTCGCGTGCTGGTGTGTGTTGTCATGCCAGCCTGTCAAATAGTTCTTTCCCCAGGATGCAGGTTCGGTCCTCACATTCCACACCAGGTCGGCCTGGGATTCAACATGCCGGTGAGCGTGCGCGTGGTCAAGCAGGAGAAGTGATGCCTGTTTGATTTCTTCGGTTTTGAGAGCTCAAGCCAATGAATCTGCCACCTTTGAAGAACAACTCTCCTGCAGCTCGCTGCAAGCTCCAACGTGGTCTGATCTCAGGAAAGCTCTCCTCAACTTCCCGAGGTCCTTTGGTGATCGCAACTGGGAAAACGGATAACATCAGTAGAATGGTCCACTTGTGTGTGTGTATGTTCACCTACCAATTGAGTTGGTATACTACTTATCTGGTCAGGTGTGCATCCCTCATTTCTGCTTGACAGACACAAGGACGGTAGTCGTGTTTAGAGCGATCCCCAATCAGAGAAAAAGAAAACGCGGGGTGGGCCCCCTCTCAAACGTACCGGACACCGTGTTTGATCTATTTAAGGGCCAAAGTATGCCTATAGGGCGAAAGAATGGCTGTTGTGGCCTCCGAAGGACGCGCAGTACATCTTAGAGCTTCGGCGGCGCTTCCGCGCGTCGATCAAGCAGCCCCTGACGGCGCTGCAGGGCTTCCAAGAGTTGCTGGGATGGAGTCCTGGATGAAAGGGATCCGCGCAGGGCATCGACATGCTCGTACGGCCGTACGTGACGCCCCTGAAATGCGCCCGGGAGGAGAGGCAAGCCTGACTCACCATCCCTTGTTGTCGCATGAGCTGTTTGGGGACATCGACATCCTTACAAACCGTGAAGGATTGGGTTGGTTTTACCAAAGAAGCCCTCAAAGCCGGTGAAGACGTGGTGGCTTCTTGTGGCTTTTGGTGTCGATGTCTTTGAGATGTCTGCCTTCGGGCCTTCAGGATGGGCCCCTTGCAAGCGAAGGGCTTCGTGACAGGGCCGCCTTCCTGGTTGTGGCTCAGATGTACGAGATTGAAGGATTTTTCGATGCCCCCAAAACAATAGAGAGTGATTCTGCACAACAAAATTCACTATGGTCTTGTTCACCGGAAACTGGACATAGTGAAACCATAGAGCATGACTGCAATTTAAGTGAGTTCATGGTACAAAAAGGGACTGCTGGTGGCAGATTTGGCAGATTTGAAGCCCCTGCATTCTTTGAAATTTGGGTAGTATGCATACACCAGAAAGCTTCTCTTGGTGCTGTGACTGTCAACCTCCATAGGTAGGATCTGTTTGTCCGACTGGTGCTTTGTGATCTCATATTTCTTGAGAGGGCCAAAAGAGTCCACTTGCATGCCAGGTTGATCTTCGCCCAAGATCTGTGGGTCGTCAGTGTGGCAGAACACGAGGAGTTCTTGCTGGCCCTCAAGCAAGCATGTCACTTCTTTCAGCATGAAAGGACTTGTGAGGCACTTCTGTGGCCCGAAGGCTTGGTGGGATCCATTTAGTGGAGTGAGATGAACCAAAAAACACTCCTTGTTGTCTCCTTCGCAAGTGTATCACTTTGGGGATGTGGCTCCAAAACCCCGGACCGACCTGGGTTGACCCTCAGAACAACAACTACAAGAGAAGTCGAAGCACAAGGAACGACCAATGCACCCCTTGGGCCCTTGGACGTGTCCCATGTTGTGCTCAAGCTCCGCTATCCATGCACCCCAGCTGAGGGTATGGGTTCTCACCCACAGCTGCACCTGTTTCCTATCGAGAAGATTTGGACACCCGCTTTTCCATCACAACCAAGCCAAGGCGATGAGTCGGAGCACCCCTTGAAGGATCAACTTGCGCAGTGTGTGAGTGCTACTCTGAGGGCGTGAGGGATGCCACAAAAGTCTTCTAGCTACTCGTAGCTTCTTGTTGCTAGTACTAATGGCCTCCAACCTACTAGCGATGGCCTCAAAGTGCTTAGTCCCCGGATTTCCTTGATCTGGATGCGAAAAGTCCCCAGTTGGGGAGCTGGGCAGCAAATTTGGGTCTCACATGCCAAAGAGCAGGTGAATGCCAGCGCCCATGAGACGTTCCATCGAAATCGTTTTGGTGGATGGACACATCGTGTACACTTTGATCCGAGAGACCTGATGGATCCCGATTCTATTTTGATGCCAGTGTGTCCCAGAGCTTGCAAGTCCACTGTTCCAGGTCTGTCCGGATCTCTTTTGGTCCATCCAGCTCGATCGTTGGAGAAAAGCTCTCTCTCTCTCTCTCTCCGACCTTCGCGGATGGCTTCACCTCCACCCTTTTTCCGGGTGCGTCGGGGCTCCCCCAGTCGGCTCGCGTCGCGGGAAGCCGGTCGCTCGCGGAAGCCGAGGCGCGTGCCAGCTGCCGTGCGGCCTTGGAGGATCGGTTGAAGGGCGCAGCAGGGCGACTGGACGCGCTTCTGTGGGCAGGAGCGGATGGGGTGGGTGGGTGGGTGGGTGGTAAGTGGGGAAAGTTTGGGGAAAGCTTGGGGTTTTGGAGGATGTGTGTCGAGTTCTGTGGGTCTTTTTTAGCACCAATTGCCAATACCCAATTCTTTGGCACAGAACATCCAGTCTGAGTGAATTTGTAGGACTGTTCTTAAGGATCTTAAGGGAAATGCTTCAGGACAGTGAGATGAAAAAACTCTGTAGCCATTTGTAGCCTATTCTCTGGCTTGAGATGAGACTACTCAGCCTCCAGAGGTTGAGGGACCTAACTACTGTCTTCAGTGATGCTTTGTGCGACTTCCATCTGGATTTTCCGATTTAAAACCTTGGATTCTCCCTTGGCATCGCCGTGTTCTGCCCCCCATTTTTCATTCATCCACCCACGGTCATCCGCCGTCATCCGCCCATCCACACCGCGGTCGGCGTTCCCCGGGAACTCCAAGGAGCCGATGTGAACGCCGTGGGCCGCGGCTGTGAAACCGCGCTGCACATCGTGGCGCGCGCCTCGCCCGGGGGGGAACGGGGCGGAACGGTCGGATTGGGCACAAACAAGACTCAGCAGGGAGTTCTCTTGGGTCCCAGGGGTGGATCGAAATACCAAAGATGGGTTTCAATGGGGGTTCCATGTTTGTTATGTGTCTAAGATAGATGTCCTTTGACCCTTAGGTGGGAGAGTAGCGGAAATTGAACAGAAGGTGATTGACTGACCATGCCCATGCGCAATTTCATCCAAATCGCCAACTGCAACAACAAATGGTGACTGCCACTGCTTTGGACTGAAGGCGGCCAAGGGATGCTCCGAAGTGAACCTTTACGTGGCACCCTTTTTTTTTTCCGGGAAACCACTGACTCGCAGAGATCTAATCCGACCGGGCCATTCAGCCGGGAAAAAGAGGCCATTTTAGGCGCGGCTTCACCGTGTCCGGCAGCACCGGTGTGCCGAGTCCGGGCGACGTCAGGACGTCGGCGACACATGCGCTGTCCAAGGTTTTAGCATCGACGAAGCCTTCATATTTTTTTTTGGGGGGCGGCAACAGTTGAGTGGGCGGCTGCTTCGCTGCAGCCGCCCAAATGGACACACACACACACACATGAGGGATTTCTGAGTCTTGTATAGATTTGTTGTGTATCTCAGACCATCTCAGATTCTTCAAGGCAACTCAACATAGCACGACATGTTTATTTCTCTAGGACTTAACATCATTTTTGTGCTATTCAACGACGATCAAAACACCAGAGGTGCTACCTACCGCTCATCGGCTCGGCTGAGGAATGCTCCAAGTGCTGCTAGCGGAGGAGCACCATCCAAGTGAATGCAAATCTTTTTCGGATGCTCACGGAGTCCTTGTTGACGGCTGTTTTGCATTCTGTTTTTTTGCGCAATGACCCAGCTCAGGGTTTCAATCCAGGGGGTCTGGATTGAGTTTCATTTCTTTTTGGGGTGGGTGAAGTTATATAGAATCCCTGTATCGATCTGTATATAAATGTAAGTGAGACAAATGCCTTCATTTCATTGGATTGTGCTACAGGGACGAATTCACCCTGAGTGAAAGGAACACACACACACATATTATAGATAGATCCATATTATGTAATCAAACAATAAACATAGCACTTTCCATGCTTGTTGTATGTTCCTTTGTTTAGATGAGTGTTCGCCTGCCGAATTACGCACGTGTCCTGAACAGACCAGCAAGCAACAGCATTGCCGAAGGCCTTTTAAACGGTCAAAGCAGCTGCATTCCCCAAAGTTGAGCTTCTTCCGAAACTGCTGCAACAGCGAATCCTCAAGCTCAGAGAATCCTTAGGGACAAGGGACGACACACAACACATGAATGTCTCACAATCAGCACAATTTCCTGCCCGAAGCCACGAGTGGAAGGCTTTTTCAGCTTTCTCTTACGCTTTGATGACTTCTGCCATCCGTCAGGAGCGCGGTGGAGAGCTTCAGGTCGGGATGGATCGGGACGAACTCGAAGGACAGACTGATCGACAGGTCGACATGGTCACAGGTCAGTCGACATCAGATGTCTAGATGTCTCCAACCTTTGGAGAACATCACGACCCAGTCGAACCATCATCGTTCAAATAAAACAGGAGATGATGCGTTGGTATTTCGCCCAGGAGAAGGTCCAGTCTTCTTTCAATGTTCCCAGAGGAATCTGGACAATGACCTGAAAACGAAGATGTTCCATCCTTCGTCGGATTTCGGACCCCCTCACGGCACCCCTGCGGCCATCGGACCCCGCCGGCGTTTGCGCCGTTCGTTGGTTAGGCCCAGAAGTCTGGTTCCTGGAAGTCGAAAGAACACGTGTGTAGCTCTAGTGAAGGTCTTCAAGAAGTTTCATACTACCATAACTCTCTGAATCTATAGTCTCTGGTCCCAATCGTTTCTATGAGTTTCACGCTACTTGACCCTCTTGATCGCCGCCCCGGTCGCGTCCCGCGCTCCGATCCGCTCAGCTGGCGTCGGAGTTGCGGACCCTTTGGCACGACCTGGTGGCCCGAGGCCGACGGGAAGACGACCTGGGATCGTTTCAGCGTTTCAGTCCACCTGCCATGTGGCTTGAAGTCGGAAGTGCTGGGGTTCGAACTAAGCTGGACCCACGCCAGCTTCCGCAAAATTTTGACAAATGCCCACAGTGCCACATGGCCAAATATTGATTGTAGTATTTGATGTGCAAGCCGTGCGGGCCCAGAGTTCTCCTTGCGGCTCAACTGGTCACCATGTCCGCGTGCATCATCAGGGTTGATTGAAGAAAAGAGATGCAAGCGGAAGAGCTCTTGAAGAAAACATGGTGTCAATGGCCTTATCGTCCCCTGTGTTTTTGCACGTCTGCATCGGGCCTTGATTCATGAAGATGTGCGTTTGGGGTTCGTGAGGGAAAGTTGCATAATAGTACGTTATGTACTTAATAGATTATGTTCGAGGGGTCAAATCTACTGAGAAGGTCCACAAAACGTGTTCGCTGTTTTCGCCAAACTGGCATACCAGTTTTAAAGGATAGCAAGAATCAAGACTTGGCCCACAGCAATTGTAGAACATTTTTGTTCAAGCGGACATTTTGACGCACAAGTTTCCCACCGCTTTCAGCATTCTTGAATCACCTTTATGGTTCATGAGAAGAACATTAAGATTGAAGATGGAGATGAAACTCATGAAACCAAGATGAGGATGCAAAAGTGGGATTAAGACAAAGTTCAAATCAGGATCGCGCCTTTTTTCCCGTGCAAACTGCACATGTTCAGGAAACAAAGATGAAGATGACGCGCATAAAACACAGATGAAGATTAAGTTCAACAATCAAATATCAAATGTTGACTCTGATGAGCCAACCTAACGTCATTACTCATTGCCCCCACCCACCGAACCCCGTCACCTGGCGTCATGACTGCATGTGGTCACATAGAATAGCGTTACATCAGTTACATCAGTGGAAGGTAAACATCCAGTTACCACCGGAGCCCACCCGTCTTGAACACACATCAACACCGTCGTTTCTAATATAGCACAGCCTTGCTGCGCTTGTGAAAAAAGGGTGAATCGACTTTTCCTTTGTCCATCAACAGTTCAACTAGCTCAATTGGCGACTTGGCATTTGTGTGAAGGCTTAGCCATGCACTCAGGCTCATTCCCACTGTGGAGGTGTTGGGAACGAAGATGTCTCATTCCCGCTCTGCCTCCCTTTGCGCCTCCAGGCGCAGATGCCAGCATGGTGGACGGGGAGGGCTTCTCAGCGATCCAGAGGTGGAGAGATGGAATGGACAACGACCGGAAAGGTAGATGAATTGGACCAGAGATGAATGGGACCGGAGCACCACCTCCTTGGATCGGAGCACCACCTCCGATGCTTCGGTCACCGAGGTGTGCGATTCGTCCGATGCTTCGGGCGGATTCGGCGGATGCGTCCGATGAGCTCGTGGAATCACCGTGGCACAGTTGCTTTCGTTGGACGGTGACCACCCAACGAAAGCACACCAGTGGACTAAGGAAGACTAAGGAATCAAAGGAGGAACGGGATCAATGGGACCCTCTTTTTGGGGCAGTTGACCCGAGGCCCTCCAGAGAAAAGGCTGGATTTTGCCGTGTGGTGGCTCAAAGCTGACGCCATGCTAATTCAACATGACCAGAAGTTGATTGGAACATTGAGTTTGCAAGAGAATCCGCCGACGGTCGCAAGATCAAGCCACCCCACTCTGGTCTTGCTACGACTCCAAACGGATATTAGACAGTTCAATGTTCCGCAGTTCTTCTTTTTTGTGACCCCACCTATATAGGTAGTGTCTACCCTTGCAGCCTCTCCTAGTTTTCTCCTGGAACTCCTTCGGTCTCCCACCATGCGACAAGAGCCCTGGAAGCCGCTGGAAGCCATGTCAACGTCTGATGCTCCAGGGCACATGTCAGAGGCCATGGGGGTTTCACCCTCCGTCCTCGGTCCTCGGGCACGTGGTGATTGGGGGGGAGGGACGTCATGGACCAACGCGGCATTCCATTGAAACGTCGGTTTCCCAACGGTGACATCAGGTGCGAAAATGCTGCGAAGGGGCCAAGGCAAACCTTCGAATCAGCACGCGCGGACGCACGCGAATGAGTGGCGCCACCGATATGAAGCAAGGAAGATAGGAAACCAATGGACTTGTGAATGCAAGTGTTTGCAGATGACCCCCCTTCGTTGTATCCGA